AGCTAGTTTTGGGGAGCAGCGCTGGGCTCGAGTTTTGCTTCCGAGGTGTTTTTTAGTGTGATGGAAGACTCGGGCACTCACTCAGCCCAGCTGGGCCAAAGCGTGTTGCTGCCTGCTCCAAGGTTCTTGCAAGGCATCCTGGACTAGAGGAAATCTCGGAGTGGAAGGGCCATGGCCTCGGGGAAGCTGTCACATCCAGCCTGTGCTCATGAAAGATGGGTTGCTGCCACCGTTTTGGTCTTGGAAGTCTGTATGCAGCAGGGGGGCTCAACAAACACTCTCGCCGAGTACGTCACGCTTTGATTCTCTAGCCATAGATTTCGGGAGAACTAGCGTTCAAGTGGGTCGCTAAGGAGTCCAGGAATCTTCAAGACCATGAGACAGTCATGAAGCACGACGAAAACGGTAGAGCTGTGCGAGCGTCTGGGGTCCGGGGCGACCCTGCTTTCAGCGAACTTCAACCATTCTCCAGTCGCCTTCCCAACAGAATCAACCTAAGAATCTTTTTGAACCCGACAGAAGGGTTAGTAGTCCTCTTCGCGGAACACCGCTTTCGATTGGCTGAGGTTTCTTGCTCCATCCGTTGTGTTACATACGTACCTGTACTTTCTACTTACATACATGCAGTATACGTGTAGAAATATGTGTGTAGTATATGTGCGATATATGAGCAGTTTCTGTGCAATCTATGTGTAGTATCTGTGTAGTAAATAATATCTCCACTTGGGCGGAGACCGAGGTCTAGAGGAGCTCCCGGAAGTTTGGTGGCCGCAGCCTGGGGAGGAAGCGACACAGACCGACATGGTGTGAATAGGTGGGGTATAGTATAGTATCGTATAACCTATAGCATAGTACAGCACGGTATAGTACAGCATCGCATAGTACTGTACAGCATAGTAGAGTATAGTAGAGCAGGGAAGAATGGTAAACATTGGGTTGCCTTTCCTTCTTCCTTTTGTGCTTCTCATCATGTTACTTCACTACTCTTATCCCCTTATCTTGCTATTGTTCCTGTCTCGCTACCCCCCCCCCCCTCCCCAATTTTGGAGGGGCTGCTAAGGGTAAGCAGATGTGTGGCTTGAGGATCCCAGCGTCTGGCGTTCACTAGGCTGGGCTTGCAGAGATCACAACATCTGAAGCTTCAGAGCAGCAGCGAACCTTGCAGAACTAGATTTGGGAGTTTCCGCAAATAGGGGGTACCTTATTTAGGGGTCCTTATAATAAGGATCCTACTATTTAGTCCCCTATTTTCGGAAACCACCATTTTGGTACACCTTACTAACCTAACATCTAGTCTGGCAGCTGAATCAGTGGCCCCAAGAGGCCGGAAACCCTAAACCCATCCTGAACCCTAAACCCTAAAACCTGAATCCCGAAACCCTACCCCCCCATCCCCTCAACCCCTAAACCCTAAAAACCCTGACAACCCTAAACCCCTTAAAACCCTAAACACCCCAAAAACCCTATTAAAACAAAAGCCCTTAACACCCCAAACAACTCCGAAAAACCCTGTGGCCAAAAGAAGGACCAGTGGGGACGCGCGGAGGCCTTCCTGGCCCGGGCTCGTGAAAGGCCGGAGGAGCGACCCTTTGCCGGATGTTGTGCAACAGTCTGTTCTAATTCTAGTTCTATTCTATTCTAACTCTAGTCTCTTCTAGTATAGTTCTAGTTTTGTCTAATTCTATTCTAGTCTAATTCTGTTCTAGTCTTACTTATTCTAGTCTATTCTATTCTGTTCCAGTCTAGTCTAGTCTATTCTAGTCTATTCCATTCTAGTGTTGTCTGTTCTAGTGTAGTTTAGTGTAATGAAGAGTGGTGCGGTATAGCATGGTGTAGTAAACTCTAGTCAAATCTAGTCTGGTCTAGTCTAGTCTAGTATAAGTCGTATTATGCTGCACATTGCAGTGTATATACAATTCCAAAATTATACAATGTCATACCACATCATACTTTACTAGATTCGGTAGTATATTGTACGGCAATGTATCGTATTATATTATATCATATTCTATTATACTGCTTCTCTTCTATTATGATATATGATATCATATGATGGTATATTGTACTGCATTATATTGTATTATAATAGACTGTATTATGCTCTAGTCTATTATATTGCACTGTAAAATCATGCCATATTATGCTATATTATATTTTGTTTATATTTCAAGGTATACTGTTATGGCATCTCACTTTGGGCTTAACAGGGGAGTGTTGTGCGAGTTTATGGGGAGTGTCGCAGAGTTCGGGAGGTGCGAGTCGTGGTAAGTGTCGCGGAGTGATGGGCGAGGGTTTGCGTGTCGTGGGGAATGTCGTGGGCGTGGACGGCGGGTGAGAGCGGGTCGGAGGGAGTGTCGCGGAGTGGGGCCAGGGTATGTGTATCGTGGGGAGTGTCGTGCGAGTTTTGAGTGGAGTGTCGCGGAGTGATGGACGAGGGCTTACGTGTCGTGGGAAGTGTCGTGGAGTGGGCGAGTGTCGCGGAGTGGTGGGCGAGGGTGAGTCTGTCGGGAGCGGCGGGCGAGGGGGTCGTGTGGTGGGGGGCTAGGGTGTATGTTCGTGGGGAATCACGAGAGGCGGGCGAGAGGGCGAGGAGTGTCGCAGAGTGGCGTGTGTGCGCGCGTGTGTTGTGGGAAGATGTGGGGAGCATCGTGGAATATTATATTATACTAGGTCATACTGTATTATGTCATGTTATGTTTTGTGATATACAATCTTGTGCTATATTGCATTTTGTATTTGGTATCATAATACCACAGCACTATGCTTGGCTAGACTGACTATACTATACTATACTACATTTCATTTTCTTGTAAGATTACGATGCCATATTGCAGTACAGTATATTGAATACAATATTTTGCTGATACTGTATTGTATGATATTGTATTATATCACATTACATTATACTACAATATATCATGTCACAGAAAAATTGTGGTAAAACATGTCAGATTATGCTTTCCAATATTTTATACCGTATTATATTATGCACTGTTCTGTTATATAATGTTATATTTATATTAGACTGTATTATGTAATATAGTATCACTTGATAGGGTGTCATATTATGTTATTGTGTTATATTATATAGCATCAGATTGTCTAGCATTGTTCATTTCCATTTTCCATATCACGTTTGTTTCTGTCAGTATGCTATATCGTACTATACTATACTACTTTACATTACATACGATCGTATAGCATATTCACACATAATATATTACATCATATGATATTGTTGTACATGTCACTATATTCAAAAAACATGCACAGAAGGGCTATGAGACTTTATCTAGTCTATGAATAAGAAGAACGAGAAGAAGAGGGCGGAAAGACATAGGGGGCAGGGCCAGGCAGTTGGACGACGACGAGCATCGGTCCCGATGTTCATGGTGGAACGGTTTTCCTGTTTCTATTGCGTGGTGGGGCAGACTCACCTTCTTTCTCTCTCACACAATCGCCACTTTTGAGCCCAGGAATTGTTTTCGTTGGGCATGGCGGCTTCTGGGAACGAGCCCCCCACTCAGAAGGGCGACTGTGAGGCGTCAGAATGCTGCGGGATTCGCTCAGAAGCAGCCCGCGCACAGCTGCGCCCTGAAGTGCACAGAGCTGAGCGGAGTACAGACATGTGTTCACAATGCTGCTCATCTAAGGTTCTGGGCCGATACCTCTCCAACTGCGAAGTGATCTTCTGTGAGCGTTCCTTGTCGTAGCCACGGGTCCTGGTTCTCAAGGCGACGTGGAGCCGCCAAATGGGTAGCTGCGGCGAAAAAGCTGAGAGTCTGTGAGTGATTGTAGGGAGGCTGCCGTCCGGGTGAAGCACGGAAGCGGAGGCTGCATTGCACATTCCAAGCTCTTCACTTGCGATTGCGCAACTGGGGGAATCTTCAAGTTTATCATAACCGACAAGGTATACATACATAACTATACATATATATATATACATACACACACACACATTTTTGTGTGCATATGTCTGTACATGAATGATAGTATATGGTGTATACATCAGTATACAGCATCAGAATGTGATCTGTAGTATATAGTATATAGTATGTAGTGTATAGTGTGAAGGTACATCGTCGTATCGTTTCTTGTACATAGCTTATACTATACCTTTGAATATGTGAAGTTGCTTCCAAGCCTCCACCTCGCCTGAACCCCGCAGACGGGCTCTGAAGACGTGCACGGTCAGCATTCGTTCACATGGCTGCCTTATGCTAGTTTCTAGGATGTACTTTGGAGCATCATCGATGCTAGAGTATAGTATACGGTTTATAATGTATAAGATGTGAAGGCTGAAATGCGATGTAATTGCGTCATCGTCTCCTGTGAGAGGGAGCATCAAACCACTCTTTTCCGGAGAGCCATGTCCAGTGCAACCATGGATCCCCCGACAAATCTGCCGTCACTCGGCTTGGAGGTTGTTGTTGATGGCGATGAGAGCTCAGTTGCAGGTGGAACTACAGTTAATCTGGCATGGCCACGCGTCAGTCACTTTAGTCGCTGTAGCCAGTAGTTATTTCCAGCAGCATTGCTGCTATCGCAATTTCTGCTAGTATAAGTATGTTCACTACTCTTGCCTCCTGTTTGGTATGGTGGTGAGATGATGCCTCTTGCGTAATGCTGCTTCTGAGATGGTCATGCAGCTCATGGCCTTGGTTGTCAGTGTTGCGCTTAGTTGGCTGGTGTTGCTGCTGCTGATGCTGGTGCCGGTGGTAGTGGCACTGTGGACATCGTTCGTTGTCGTCGTTCTGTTGTCATTGTCCTTTGTTGTTGTTGTTGTTGTTGTTGTTGTTGTTGTTATTCCTGGTGTTTTTGTTCTTGTTATTGTTCTTGCTGTCGCTGCTGCCGCTGCTGCCGCTGCTGCTGCTCCTCCTGCTCTTGCTGCCGCTGCTGCTGCTCCTCCTGCTCTTGCTGCTGCTGCTGCCGCTGCTGCTACTCTTGCTGTCAGTGGTGTGCTACTCGGCCCCGTCAATATTGTTTGGTACGAGCAAAATGAACTGAGGCCAATGCCGAAGCCCAACAAGCAAAAAAGGGTGATGCAGGCAGGGACGGGCTTTTTGCTCGGTGGCGCCGCTGCTGCGGCATTCATTGCAACAACGTGTCTTGTCTTTCTCTTAGTGTGTGCTGTCGCATATACTTCGGTAGTATAGAATGGAGTATAGCGGCGTACGAGCATGTGTAAGACACCGCACCAAGTGTGTGTATGGACGTCCTGTCTGCATGTCTGTCTCTCTGTCTGGCTGTGCGTGTATGTACGTATTTATGTAGACAGACAGCTAAACCCTAAACCCTAAACCCCTAACCCTAAACCCTAGGCAGGCTTGCTCAGACGAACAGGCCACTACACTTTAAAAAAAACCCTAAACCTGGAACTGTTGGACCTGAGGATTGGCAGCCTGTCGCTTCTTGACACCGGCTCAGCGGTGACTTCGGTATTATCTGTTCTCGTCATCACAGAGGCGGTTGTGGCATTGGGCTGTTGGCTTGCCATCATGATGGTCGACGCTGGCACAGTCAAGAGGTCAGCCGAGACCACAGAACCGATGCCAGCGAAGATCGTCAGCCATCTTGCCAGTGGAGAACCTATGGACTCGCTCCCGATGCTCGTGGTTGAGGATGGAGAGATCTTCTGTACTCAGTGTCTCGTTTGGCGCAGAAAGACCTCTTTGAAAGACTTCACAACCGTGGCTCATTGGACCTGCTGTGTGCCACGACGACGCTATGTGGAGCTGTGCGGTCACCATTGTGAGATCTGTAACCGCTGTGTTCCAGATTTCCACGGGCACTCTAACATGCTCGGGACGTGCATCTCCAACAGGAACATCTACTTCTTAGCAGTGCTGATGTTGCAGGCTGGGTGCCGGATGATGAGGGAGTAATGTAGTCTGCTGTGAAGTCTACATGGAAGCTAGCTGCTTTGCAAAGTGAGTTTTGGCTGCAGCTGCTGCCTGGTCGTGTGTGTGTTTCTGTGTCTGTGTCTGTTTGTGTGCGTTTCTTATGGATTGCATTGGCAGGGCGGGCTGGGCTTCATGACGGCCTTGAGCTCGGTGTTCATCGTATTCTTCCAGCGCGACAAGTGATTGCCTCCCATATGCCGAGCTAGATCAGACGCATGAATCTGTTCCCTCAGAGCGTCGGCCTTTTTTAGCGGCTTGCATGGGGCTTAAAATTAAGTAGCGTTGATAGGTACATCCCCGTGCGAATATCTGAAGGATTCCTTTCGCACGGGGTATGATTTGGGCCGAACTGTTTCTTCAGACGGACCGTCTAAGCGCTGCAACCGTCGCAGCAAGAGCTGGGACATTTTTGCTTCGTTTGCTCCTCAATTCTTGTCCTGCACTTAGACCCTTTTCGATGAAGTACGTGAGCATGAATGGAAAAGACCGAACTAGTGAATGGACAGGCTCGAAACAGGCTTGCTCACGAGCAGTGCAGGCCCTGTTTCAAGATGGTACCTTTGCGCACTGGAAAATCGAAGCTTCAGAGTGGGCTGAAGACAAGTCGTTGCTGAATGCAGGTGTGTCACGGCCAAGACGGCTGGGGCAGCACCAAGCCTCCGTCCTATGCTTTCTGGCTTCGGACTTAACAGCTGACAGCTTCTTCACAACATTTAGAAAGCCATGCGGCCCTCCGCAAAGGAATTCCTGAGCCCTCTGCATGTGGGTAGTTGTCAAAATTATGGTCGCTTTTGGGGTACCCTAAATAATAGGTGCCGTATTATACTACCATAATTTTGACAACCACCCATGTGAGAAAGCATCCTCAGGTCATGTCGAGAAACCCCTTGGCGAAGACCCTGCACATCCCGCGAATCGCGAAAGCTGCGGAGTCCGGAGAAGGCAAGCAGCTCGTGAGTCAATGGTTGCTGAAGATATCATGGTACTAGAAAGGTACAGGTCTAGATTACGAGGTAGTAATAGAAGGTGCTATTTATCATAGGATGCCATTATACTGGAGAGGTACAGGCTTAGATTACAGGGTAGTATTAGAAGGTGCTACTTATTATATGGTGCTAGTATAGACTACCATTATGGAGCACAAACATGGGGTACCATTAGAGGCTTCCCATTGCGGAGTGCTACTATAGGGTACTGTTCCAGAATTTGAGCCTCATGTAAGGCTTATAGGCTTATCGTTTAGAGAGAACTACCGCCGCCCTGCCAAGACACTTGTCCATGACGGTTACTGCCTTCCCAACAGCATGATGCTGCTGCTGCTCCTCCTCCACGCAAAAGACTGAAAAAAAACTGCGTGCCTCTCTCTCGCTCTATCTATCCATCTACCTATCCATCCATCCATCCATCCATCCATCCATCCATCCATCCATCCATCCATCCATCCATCCATCCATCCATCCATCCATCCATCCATCCATGCATCCATGCATCTATCCATTCATCTATCTATCCATTCATCTATCTATCTTACCATCTATCTCTCTCTCTCTCTCTCTGTCTATCTATCTATCTATCTATCTGTCTGTCTGTCTGTCTATCTATCTATCTATCTATCTCAGGTTATACATTTTTATGTAATTATATAGATAGATCAGGTACTACACTTTATCACCGATATTACATACTCTTCATGGTTTTCGTTTCATGCATCCACCAGCACCAACCCGGACCAAGGCCCGGGTAGCAAAGCCATGGCCGATGAAGCGGCTAACGGACCACTGTTGGGCAAAGATCAGGGTTTAGGGTTAAGGGTCTAGGGTGTCGGTTGCAGAGATAAGGCACAATTACAGGATACTAAATGGCAACTATACGGGTACTAACATAGCACACTCTTGCAGGGTACTATGCGTTTGCTCAGCTGGATCAGCGATGCTTCAGTGCTTGTCATTGAGGGATTTGCTGCTCGCAAGTTCAGGAGTTTTGCCGAGCTTGGATCATTAGGAGACATCAGGGCTCTTTCTATAAGTATGCCCAAGAGGTCAGTGCCAATCGCGGCACTATAAATGTCTCGGACAGAAACGAGAGAGTGGGGAAATATCTGAAAGGAATGAACAAGGAAGCCAAGAAGCGTAACCCCTGGTGCCGACCCCTTCGCCTTCTCCTGTGAGACTAAGTGGGTTCAGCAGAAAGACACGCCAGTCTGGCAAACTTGCAGGAGACACCATCCACCAGATGTCCGTCCAAGCCTTGGCAGTCACCCGATGTCGTGAGGAACAAGGGGCCATGTGCAAAGGCAAACATGCTAGAAAAAAGGGTGGTTGAATGGCCTTAGAGCAACATTTCCGCCACACCAGAGCTTTATGATTTTGCCACAGCCTCTGACCCACGCAGTCCTGGGACAGCCTTCACTCAAACCAGAGGTGTATTTTGAAAAGCTTGGGTGCCACAGGCATCGGGTTGTTTATAGTTTTGCTCCTCTCGGGATCCTGGTTCAGAGGTAAAAAGTGAAAAATCGCCACAAGCTTCTGCTACAGCTCTTGCTTCATGATTTGTTCCATGGCAGTTGACGTTCATCAAGTGCAAGACCCCTTTGTGCCTGAATCTCTCAAAGGACAGAGATAGATCACGCATGCTGGCAAGCGATCTGACGTCTCTCCGCCGCAGGCCTTTTTTTTGTTGGGCTGGGGCCGACTGCTTACGTGGGTCAGCTCCTTGCGGCACAGCGCCCTCAGGCCGACGCGTTGAAAAAACCTGCGGTGTATAAGGATTACGATGCCGAGATTCTGCATACCTGTGGTATCACGAATCTCGTTCGCTCTCTGCAGCTTCGGCGTCCTCTCCGAAAAAGACCAGGGAGAGTACTGAGTACTCTGGTCGCCGAGAGTAAACTCACGTTGAGCATTGAGGCTGATTGGCGGCAGTACTTCTAGGCAGCCCTTTGGCAGCCATGTGGAAGCTTGGCGTCGGCATGGTTCTTGCTGGGCCGATGGTCGACTCGGTCGGAATGCATCTGGTTCGCGCAGCGGAGTTCTGGACTCTGTCCGCACCCGTTGAAGAAGGCTGAGTGCCGCAACTAAACTGTGGCTGGGGGCAAGAGCTTGGCCCACTCCTGGGTGTCGCGAGTTGCGCCGTTTGCTCTCAGTCATCTCTCCATGACAACATCATCGTCCCCCCCTTGATGCGTCGTTTTGTAGCTGCACTTGTCGCATTTTCCAAACTCCCAAAATGTCAGAGGAGCATTGTTCTTTTGGCTCGAACGCCACCCGAAGCTGCTTCCTGGCAGGCTCAGACCACACTCGGCAAACAGCAGACGCAAGTCCCGAGCGTGCGCAGGCTCATCAAAGCGGTTCTGGTTGGGTTGCGGTTGTTGTCAGAGAGTGGGTCAACAGCGGCCGTGGCAAAAACTTGGAGCAAGTATGAGCAAGTGGCCCCCTTGGACAACTATATTGCACTGCCAACAAGTCTGTCCGCTGTGATCGTGCTGGAGGAAACGGATGGGGAGCCCTGGCAGAAACTGTGGGTCGGTGTACTTCGTGGGATTGTTACTCTTGACCAGAGGGGAGGAAAACCCTGCCAACACATCCCACAGCAACAGTGAGGCCCTCCATTCGCCACGACCATGCCTGCAGCGTCCATGGACTTCTCGCATGCAGAGGGAAAGATCCTCTTCGACTAAGTCGAAAAGGGTCTTTGCCCCTGCAGGCACAAAGAATCCAACACGCTGCATAAGCTCTCCGAGGACGGATCGCTGAAGGGGACTCCCCGTTGTCGTCTCCATGCGGTTTGAAGGCGTTCCTGACCGTTCTCGCCTTGCATGTCCCGGAGCGAGTGCATCGGCGACGTCTGCCACCTTACTCGAGTCCGGCGCCGGGCTGGTAGGATCCTTGGCCCGTTCTGAAAGAAGCCTGCAAGCTGAAACCTTCACAGACGAAGCGAAAGTCCAGTAGACGTCCGCCCCGATGCTCGAAACTCGGCTCTACATGAGTTTTTGGGCTCCTGAAACCTGCAAGCCTTCAACCTCAAAACCCAAGACGTCTGCCGATGTTCCCAACCTGTCATGTTTGGATGGATGCTCCAAGAACATGTAGAACCCATCCTTCCGCCCTTGTCGGCCCGTAAGCCCCCAGGTCCCGTGCACAGCGGACGCCCTCCCCGTGCTACCTACCAGCTGGGCCTCGAAGTCCTTCGCCCATCGAGATCACGGAGCTGCAGGGTCAGGTGCGGCCTGGCTGCCCATGGGATTGAGAGGAGGTTGCGTAGCCGCTCACAACGCCCAACCGTCTGCGATGCACGAGTGTGTGAGGAATTGAAGCATCCCTTTGCCAGACATTAATCTTAAGTTATATATCACAAGTAATGCGAGTACTATACTATACTGTACTGTACCATACTATACCAGACTATAATATACTAGACTGTACTGTACTGTAAGTTGCCCCGAAAGAGTCTTTGCAGACCGGAGGTGCAGAGTTCTTTGCGCGGTTTGGTCCGGAGCTGAAATTCTTGGTGTTGTGTAGGGTTTAGGGTTTAGGATTTATGAGGTAGGCCGTGTGTCTGCATCGCTTCGAACCGATTAGGCGGAGTCCATGAATCCTCGTATGCATGTGTTGCATGCAGATACAGCCGGGTAAGGCAGAATTAGATGAACAGCAGGTTTCGGGTTTGCATTTTGACACTTCAAGCACCTAAGTTGAGAGGTCCCGGGGACTAACAGTAGCTATCTACAGTATCCCAAAGGCCGCTCGGGTGTTTATATTCGGAGCTGTCGGCAGCACTGATGGCAGCAGGTTTGCGAGAGCCAAGAAGATTCAGAAAGCATATGGCTGCTACCTGTCCGAACAGAGCCCGTTGACACATAACAGCGTTCATTCCGAGTTCACGCTGGTGTTCGCCTGACATTCACGACGGTGGTGGGCGCGGCTCAACAATGTATTTGTGTATCGAGAGATACGTTGTGCAAGGTCAGAAGGCGAGGCATTGTGGCCCACTCTACAAAGATAGGCAAATACATGAAAAAACAGGTGAGTACCACATGTGCGCCCGCACAATCAAGCAATAGCAAGCACGGACCCGTGCTGGATTTTGCATCCACGGTATTTCCTGCTTACCATCCTTATGCTCACCGCATGATGCCCAAGGACTCTTGCTGCCAATCGCTTGGGCCTGAGTGTCCACACTGCCTT